CAACGACGAACCTATTAGGGTTTACGTCCCCATGTTGATGCGCCCATGGATCATGCAGATCTGTCACGCTAATGCGTCTTGTCATCTTGGTGCAGCTCGTACGCTGTCTATGTTAGAGCGTTTCTACTGGTGGGTAGGCATGAGCGTCTGTACCAAATGGTGGATTCGCCATTGCCTCAAGTGCCAAGCTCGTAAAACTTCCCGACAAACGGCCCGGTGGCCCATTTTAAGTTTGCCACTGCCGTCCGGACCAGGAGTATCCGTGAGTGTCGATTATTTCGGCCCACTGCCGACTACCCCTAGGGGTAACACTTACATTCTGCTTTTCACCGACCGGTTTAGTCGGCGTGCTGACATGTACGCCGTTACGGCTGCTGAGTTTACCGCTGAAGGTACTGCAGATATTTTCGTGAATCGGTATATCCCTCTGTGGGGTTGCCCTTTGAGTCTTTTATCAGACAATGGCACACAATTTTGCTCGAAACTGTCACAAGCCGTTTACAAACGTCTCGCAGTTCGCAAAGTGGCCACCAGTTTGTACCATCCTAATGGAAATGGTGCTGTCGAGCGTGTTAACCATACTATGGCACAAATGCTTGCCATGGTCGTTAACGAACGGCAAGATGATTGGGACGTCCATCTCCCTCATGTAGAGTTTGCCTATAATAACTCTGTAGCGCGGCCACCGGTTTAGCACCTAATGAGGTGCATATCAACCGTTTGCCTCGCCTTCCGATGACTGTCATCGAGCATCCTTATGCTCGTGGTCATCAAAGTTTGGATCGAGACCATCTCCAATATTGCGACCTCGCTGCTGATCGCCAACGTCGTGCTTACGAGCTAGTACGCGAGCAGCACAAGTTATCCATTTCTCGGATCGAGCGTCGAAATTCCGCTCTCTCGGATGCGTTGCACAAGCTTCCGACTTACACCATCGGCGATTGGGTTTGGATCTATAATACCGAATCTACCATTCGCTCCGGTGTTCGATCAGGCACCGACGACAAGGTTCTCAAAGCGAAGTTATCATTGCTTTGGACCGGTCCGTTTAAAGTGTTGGCTGTAGGCCCCTGTTCGAAAGCCCCTGATGGCAGTCCTCTCGCGGCCAAGTTGTTATACTTGGATCTTCCGTCGGACCTGCCGGGCAAAGACTCGAAACGTCGTGTTTCGGTCGCACGCTGCAAGCCATGCGCTAATCCGCATGACGCTGAGGACCTGCCACGGTTTCTGCCGACTGGTCTCACGCAGTATGTTTTAAACAACTATACGACCAAATCTCCTCCGTATCATGTTACGGAAAATGACGTCTCGACTTCGGTCGAACGCCTCGAGGTGGAACAAATTACTGGTCACCAGTCTGTTCGCGGTCGTGGTGGTGTTATCGCAGTTCTGTATCAGACACATTGGAAGGGTCTTCTCCGCCCTTCTTGGGAGCGTGAGATGGACCTTCAGCACTCTCGATCGCAGATTCTCCGGTATTGGACGGGTACGCCCGATCAACACCGTCAGACGAATCGCCGATACCGTGCAATGCGTATTGGCGCAGCCGCACGCGAATTGGCACGTGCTAAGGGCGAGAGATATTTGCCTCCGGGTTACTCCTTTGTCTCCTGCTCAACCTGGGACCGTCGTTTCGCCGATACTCCTCTACCTGTGGGTGCGTTCTTCTGGTACAAGGCTCAAGATGGACTCTGGTGGCTGGGCAAGATTTCTGGACCGACTGAACGGGCTGACCACTACATCGTACGCTTCCTCGACGACCCCGGACCGGTCAAGATCGCCCTCTCCGTTGTTCGTTACTCTACCCTCGGATCGGCCGTCTGCGGTTCGTGGTGCCTTCAAGTCCACAGCGGTAGCGCCCTCATGAAAGGACTTCTTCGCAATGTCGACATGTCGCGAAACGTGGAGGCGGAGCATTCGCCGCCAAATGATCCGGCACGCACCGATTAGCAAGCGTGTGTGTCTTGGGATCTACCTGTGTGACGTGTGTGTTCTATCCTAGATGGGATGCGGACTCGAGGTCGCCCCTGATCTCGTCCGGCCCTCTCATTTGCAAGTACGTGTAGGCTGTTGTTGCCTCTGGATAGCGCAGTGTTAGGCCTCGTTTTGGTATTTCGACCCCTTTTTCTCGTCATTCTGGCGATCGGTTTGTTTCCGCCTGGTACGTCGTTTTGTCTTTCGAGTCCTTTTTGCCTTTCTGCTTCTTTCGCCGTTCGCGTGGTTGAGCTTTATTTTCGGCTCCCCGCGGCGGTTTGATTTCGACGGGCCTTATGTTGGGTCATGGCCCCCTGGTTTTCGCCGTCGAAACGATTGGTTCCTTACCTTTTTGCGTACGTCGCCCTATGGCGTCATTAGGTTTTTTTTTGTGATTAGTCAGCTTATACGGGCTAGCTAGCCGTGAGTATTTCCGCCGCTTTTAGTCGTTGAGCGACACCGACTGCTTCGTGTTTTGTATCGTTTTGTCGATACGGACGGTTGGTTTTCGCCGTTCCGACGGTGCTTTTCCAGCATTTTCTTCCTTTCTTTGGGTTCCGACCTGTTACGGTATTTGTAGCGTTGACGTTTTCTATGATCGTGTTTATTGTCCCCCTGTTTCATTCTTAGCCCCCGTCTTTCCCTTCCCTTTCGTTCTTTTTGCTTGGGTCAAACGATGGTCTTGCGACTCATCGTGTGAGAGGTGTGGGAGGGTGATTCTTGGTATTTTGGAGCTCCACATCCTCGATCCTTTCATTTTTTGGGATTCGACAATTACTTGTCAAGTCCCTAGGTTTCAAGTATCTGCGTATGAGAACCTCCAGGGTGGGCTAGTGTTATGGGATTTGAATGTAGCCAGTGCCAACGGTATTGCGGAGTAATTCCCAGAGGAAAGTGCGGGAGATGTAACTCCCGATGGAAGGATAAAACAGGGGGCAGGACCTTTGTGGCCCCTTTTAGAGGGAGCATGTCCTCCCCCTCTGTGCTCAGTCTACCTTTGAGAGCAAGGCAACAGCAAGCACTGCTGTTCCAAGAGATTAATAAACAAGTGAGTCTTCATCAGGGTCTTCAGGGATCGCTACGCGTGTAATCCCACAACATCGGGTATAGGACCATTGCCCGATGCTAGAGGAGTCACACCCTCGAGCTTCACAGCAGTACACGGTCGTCACACCCTGGGGCTACAAAGGATGTTGAGCGGTGCAAGAGTACCCGATTTCATCTTCTACGCGTACCACGTTCAAAGCACCTCACCGTTTCGTTATAAGCCCTGCGGCATTTGCTATCGAATGTACCTCGAATGTACCAAGAGAACCTGATTCCATATCCATCCTCTTTACAACAAATAACGCTATTTTGCCAATAATTTTTCCCCTCATCTCCAAACTCTCCACCCACACACTTGCCATCGCCATGCAACCTACGAGCGCAGCGGCGACCGCCACTAGCGGTCGTCCGCGAAGCGCCCTTGTAAGTCCTAAAGATTCGACGGGTTCCATAACATTTCAGCCACAATCAACGAAAAAAGAGTTCTTCTTCTTCAGTTCTGTGGATCTTCCGGTCTTCTTATAACAAATCTGAATGTGATTTCGAGATCCGACCCTTACTTACTACTTGTTTGTGTAAGAGGTGCAAATACTCAGATAGGAAACTTTTGTAATCGGAATTTGAGTAAATAACTCATCGGGTTAACCTACAATATATATAGTGGTATAGATAGGTCGGTCGGCCGGTCGATCGGGCGGCCTTGGGCCGCCTTCTTCGTCGATCGCGCCGCCGTCGATCGCCCTTGTAGTGGTCTGGTATAAGCGCTAATAATCTAGCCCCTGCAACATGCACCCTAACCCTAGCCGGTCGCCCCCCCGCCCGGTGGTCTACTTGGTATCCTCGAAACCTTCTATATAGATAGAATAGATAGTCTAGATGTCAGGTCAGGGGTTCGAATCCCGGGTAAGCGAGCTTTTCTTGCAAAGTGAGTTTTTCTCTCGCTTCCGCTTCTGGCCTAGTGGATATAGCGCTAGTTCGTGTGTACACAGAGGGAAGAGAGTGAGTGCTGAACTCTTCTCGCATCAAAAATCGAAGGCAAGTACCGCAGGAGGAGGGGAGGAGGGTAGAGAGGGTCTCTTCCGTGTGACCACGGGTTGGAGCGTTCGACTCTGGATATGTATATATATATATCTCGAATGGGTAGTAATATTATTCCTTTTTAATTAAATATTGTACACGGCACTACTAAGTAGTGCTGTGAGCGCTGATTTGAAGTGAAGACAAAAAAAATAAAAAATAAAAAATGAAAAAACACCGTACGTATTATTACTGACCAAATAAAAAAAGAAAAGAGCCACATTTCATTTTCCCGTCAGTCAGATAGAATATGACCTACTAGTAGTGCTGTGAGCGCTGATTTGAAGTGAAGACAAAAATAAAAAATAAAAAATGAAAAAATACCGTACGTATTTATTTACTGACCAAATAAAAAAACGAAAAGAGCCACATTTTCCCGTCAGTCAGATAGAATATGACCTGACCGGCACATATGTCATCTATCTCAGAAAAAAAAAAAAACATTGCTTGCTCACCAGGCAGGAGGGTGGTTTGTGAGGAAAGATCAATCAATCTAGTCTACATCCCTTCCAATACACACACACGTACGTTACGTGCGTGCGCGGTTGTCACTACATTATTAGGAAAAATAAATACACACACAGAAAGACTACGTACCCAATCGAGATATACCCACATCACAGTCGATTGGGATGACATCATTGCGGTGGAGTCTTTTCAGTGGGGAGTCTTGAGGGATGGAGCCAGTCAGACAGACAGAGCATCGGAAATTCATGACAAGGACAGAGAGGTCGGTGACGAAAGGCAAGATGCGGCCGAAAAAATGAAAATAGAACAGACGGCAAGAAGTTGACAACACTTACTTTTATTTTCGTTAGCCAATCAAATCAAATTGTGCCCTATGAGTCACATCACGGACCCGTGCTACCGGGGACACCCCCCCCCCCCCACACACACACCCGCACCCGCACCCGCTCCTGTTCATTCTCCCCCCCGCCCCCAAACCCTGCCTGGCACCCGCGACGTTCCCCTCCTCCACCCAGAACGCGGCGTCTATTAATTTCTATCGGTGCCAGACCGAGACCAAATTACTTGGTCATCAGTCGTCACCGACCTTCTTGTGACACGATCCGGCGGGTACATAGAGAAGAAATCTTGCCTTTCTTTCTTCTCGGTCGTTCTTGCCCCGCGCCCTCGTTTTTTCACGTCAAGCACCATCATCGTCATCGCCGTCATCATGGCTACCATCAGGCGTCGCGGCGGCCCTTCCCCGGCAGGGCTGCAGCAGAGGGTGGGGCTGGCGGCGGCTGGCGTCGTTCTCCTCGGGGTCAGTTGGTCGGCCAGGGCGTTTGTTCTCACTCCCCCCCGAGTCTTCGCAGCCGCGGGAAAGTTCAACGCTGCTCTACCCGCCTCACCTCGTCAAGGATCCAGTTTCTTCAAGATAATGATGTCGGAAAAAAATAATGTTGAAATCGTTGCGGCTGCCGGGCCCGCCGCCGCCACCGCCACGGCGACGGCGGTTCGAACACCAGTACCAGCAGCAGGAGGAGGAGGGGCGTCCACTGCTGCTGCAGCCGCTACCGCTACTGCTGCCGTTCAACAGCATCAGGCCAACACGGCTATCGAGAACGTGGACGCCGTGGGTGCTGTTGCCCAGGAGGAGGTCAGGCAAGCGGGCGAAGAGGTCGTGAGGCTGACGGCCACGACCGTCGCGAGGGCGCTGCCTGGGACCTGGCTGACCGCCGGCCTGCCCAAGTGGATGCACATCCTGCGGCGAAGGATGATCACCAAGGAGGACTGGATGCATCTCCACGCGTCGAGTGGGGCGGTAAGTAGCACAATGTCGTCGTGAAGATACGCGTTGTGCTGTACGTACCACTGCTGTGCGTGCCACAACACAAGAAGATTAAGATTCCTTCACAAGATGACTCGGCAAGGAAAACGTCCAAGAACTTCCGCCCAAAGTTTAGTTACTGTCAAGTTTTGTTACTCTTTTTTTGTTGGTGTCAAAAGTTAAGCGTCTTGTTGCCATTGCGAGCTGCGTGGATCCCCCCCGTCGCGGTGTCTGCTCGTCACACCAGCCCCCCCCAGGGTTCTTCCTCTCGATGCCCGCTTTCTCTTAAGTACTTGCGGCCGGAAACGATTGACCGGAACATTATTTCTTCGGCTGCGCGTACGTACGTACTTGCACCGAGCTCAAGGCTCAAGGGTTCGATGAAAATATCTCCGGAGTAGCTAAATATGGATTTCTGGAATTATTTTGCCCATCTCCGCCGTTCTTCTTCTTCCTCCGCGTAATCGGCATCAGATGCAAGTTGATTTGATCTCAACCCCAACTACATCGATTGGAGGTCATGGCCTTTTGGTGATAGATTTGGAGCCCCAGTGAGCCGGTACTGCAGCATGAATCAATTCTCTTCGTTTGCCCACCACACGGCGCATGCTGGCGATTGCTGCTGCTGCGGCCGCAAATCGTATGCGCTGAATGCGTGTGTGTATCATCTTGCCGACAGTTCCGACTCTTGAATCCAAATTAATTGTACTTGATGCAGCCATCTCCGCTATTCCCGCTTTTTTTAGCACCACACACGCTCTCTCTCACTCGTCCCCCTGTTCCCACGATCCTAGCTGCCATAAAGAGAGGCAGTCACCGCGTGGCTCTCGTTTTCTCTCTCCCTCCCTCTTCCCCCCTCCTCTAGTCTAATCAATGGTCATCCCTCCTGCGTTCGGTTCTGGTTAACAAGTTGTTGGTACCAAAAATGGGGGGGCAGCTGTCTTGGTGTGCTGTTACCAGGTGCACACGTCCCAAGCTGCGAATGAGTCATTTTTGTTGGCTGCTATTATGCCGTTACGCGGCGATGTGTCGTGTATGTATTATGCGGTATTTTCTAAACTGAATGAAGGATGCGTAGCCCAACACGAGGTAACGTACCTACAAGGCTTTCGGATACACACACACAACATCATCAACGGTTTCTTCTTGACCGCATACTATACACAGCAGTTATCATGTTGACAAGGATGGATCCGTTGGCGAAAGGACGTGCATGGTACAAAAACCAAACAACGCGCTACAGATACCATGTAGACTAGAACACAAAAGACGACCTTTAAAATTAAAGGAACATGTGGAAACCAGGTTATTATAGGTATCTTCCCAGTAGTAGGGACGGACGCACATACAACCGTATTCTCACACATGAGAGAGCGGGTCAACTATTATTGCAGCACCGGGAGTACATCCATACAATAATTGACAGCTGACGCGGGCGATGTGGTCGTGCGGGGACGAAGAGTTTTTTCACCGCGCACGACATACACATACGATACATGAACGCATAGCAAACAGAGGGTTTCTTTCTTGGTTTCTTCCCATCATTTTTGTCGCCGAGCCCGCCGCAGAGTTTCGAGAGAAAAAGACCCCTGTTTGATATTTGTTTCATCATATCATAAAACAAACTTCACCTCACGCTGCTGCTGCTGCCGTAGGTAGGTGCACAGATATATATATATACCCATATCTGTGAGCATCATTGGGGCAGCGCTTTGTCGACGGCTTTAAAAAAATGTTTTTGACACCTCCCGCCCTACATATACATGACATGTGCTTTGGACCGCAATAATAGGTATGCATATGCATGATGAGTAAGATCTTTCTCTGTGGTCAGCGGTACAGTACGCAGCAGTATTGATTGGGCAGCTCGTTGTGTACCTAGCCATCATCCCCGTCACCCACCTGACTACTGACTCGATGCCTGTAGCGCCAAGCGTATCATCAAAAGGCTGATAATCGAATTAAAGCACCGACTTTCTTTACGACGACAGATTGTTGGAATCTTTACTCCTTCTTGCATGCCTTTTTCGCTGGGTACGGGGTGCGACAAAGACGTACCACCTACTCTTTGTGTGTGGAAAGAAGCGCTTGTACATAGGTTTTTCTCCTTGCATTGGAGACATGCTCTCGCCATCCACCGCTCGCTCACACCGCCCCCTCGCGTGGCCTCTCGCGCCTCTCCCTTGTTCTTTACAACAAAAAACAGTTGTACATCGCGGGAGGATCCCTGTACCTCTTGGGCGTCATCGGCATGGAGCTATTCACGGGCACCCCCCAGCTCGACACGACGAGCGCGCTGCCCCTGTGCGTCCTCGGTTTCGGCGCGCTTAACACCTTTAGCTCGATCCCGATGGCCAACACCCGCAGCTGGGTCTTGAGCGGGCTCTGCCTCTCAACGATGCAGCTCTGGAACGCTTGGTACGTCTCGGGAGCCTACCCGGCCTCTCTGGCCCCCGCGGACCCCTGGCTCGCCGCCGCAAACCTCTCCTTGCTGGTGATCGCCTGCGTCGAGGCCGAGGAGCAGATCCTGGCCGAAAAGCGGTGAGACCCCCCCCCCTGGCTCATCCTTACGAAACGTAGATATTGCCTGGGCCGGCGAAAACCCGGCGTATCGAGCTCCGTCCCGGCATTGTAGGGACGCGAGGTCTATATGACCTAATGACTGCTTGTACGGCATGTGTTTACATGACTACCCCCTCCCCCTCCTCCTTACAAGCGTTCTACCAAAAATGCCCCTTGCGCGTGTGCGTGCACAGCCAAAGGGAAATCCTGGCGCAGAAGGGCCGCCGCCGCACGGGGAAGATCCACATCCGCGGAGACGACCACGTGGAGGGCGATGCCATGAACCGCGCGGGTTCTTACGGGTCCCTGATCTTCAACGCCCCCCACCTCTACGCTACGCTCGTGGGAAGCGGCTGGGTCGAGCGTCTCGGAGAGGCGTTCCCCGACAGTCCCGCCCTGCTTTTCCACGCCTACGTCGCCCTCGCGGTAAGAGCACCACCCCCCCCCCCCGTGTGAATGCGGCTTCCAATGGGAAAACCGTGTTCATGTACTCCCGGAATGGCGGCTGTACAATAAGGAGAGGGAAGTGTACATGACTGAGCTGGGTAAAATACGAGGGAGGTACAGGGAGATGTTTGAGGGATGGAACAAAAAGGAAAGGACGGGAGCTGTACAGGGGAATAGGAAGTGGTTTGAAAAGGGGGGAAGGGATATCGTTAGGATAGACAAACTAGGGACGGGATTTTTGAGCCCCCTTTGGCAAAATAAAAAGGAACGATTGGCCCTCGGTGATCGGTCCTGTGGGAACAATGCTCCGTCCTCTCGAGGACGCGTGGTCAATGGTCTAACCGCTAAGGGATGCAAAACAAAAAAATACGCCCCCCCTCCCCCCACCCA